TTTTTCTTCCCAGTCATCTTCAATTTTCACTTCAACGTGAAAGAGTTTCCCGGCGCATTGAAGTTTCAAAAATATAATTAAATATATGAAAATAATAAAATTTAATTTATTCATCTGAAATTTAGAAAGTTTTTTTACAACATGGCCGGCAACATGGAAAAAGATAACGAGTAAATTTTAAAATATTTTATGTTTTATCAAAGAATCGTTAAAGTACTTCGGCTTTGTCTGATGAAATTCTAAAATAGAAGGAGAGCCCACACTTCAAGTTGTCCCCAGCTTGCGAATAATGGAATAAAGGATGAATTTGCAAGATTTTTGACTTGGATGAACTAAAATTTATAACAAATATTTCAAAACAGCTATTAAAAGCAGAATGAAGTACAAATTTAAACAAATAAAAAATTTTTTTTCTAATTATATTAAACGCAGTATTTAACAAAAAGTACAAATTTTAAAAGTCCAAAAATGGCAAAAAAATAAATATAAAAATTATTTATGGATTATTTTAAAATTATTTAATTTGTCTTTTGAGAAATTAAGAAATCTGCACTTTTAACATTTAAACCACTTAATAAAATTAGTCAAAATAATTTTTGCTTGTTTTAAAATTTTAGAAATATTGGCAATTTAAGTTAAAGGTTTTTTAAGGACGATAAAGTTTTAAGATTTGATAATTTAATGTTGTTGAAATTTGTTATTTATATTAACTATATCAGTTATGAATTATTTAAATTAGAGAAATGATTAAGCAATATAAATTCATATTTTTAATTTTCATATTATTAAATTAACAATTATTTATTTAATAATATGAAAATAAAAATTAAATGTTTAAATAAAAATAAATGATAATTGGGAAGAAAAAAGAGAATTTATTCATTTTAAAAATGTGGAATAAATTAGCGTTTTGTTTTGAAAATAATTGAAAATTATAAATATAGAAGCATTCTTCATCTATTTAAATCAAACCCTAAGAGTCATATTTAAAAGTGAAAATAATAATAAAACAGTATTTAATGATCGATTAAAAAAGAAAGGAGTAATTGAAATTTCTAAAATAAAATTATTAAAAATAATTTTAAAAGAACCTTTAACTTAAGTTTGTAGAATATTTTTAAAATTTAAAAACAAACAACAAAACTTCTTTTGACTAATTTTATTAACAGTTTCATTTGACAAAAGTACAAATTTCTTAATTTCTCAAGAGAAAAATTAAATTTTTATATTTATTTTTTGCAATTTTTGGACTTTTAAAATTTGTACTTTCTTTTAAAATAGTAAAAACAAAATTTTTTATTTGTTTAAATTTGTACTTTGGCTCTGCTTTTAATAGCTGTTTTGAAATATTCGATTCGAAATCTTGGTTTATTCAAGTCGAAAATCGAAATTTCGGAATTGCTCTAATGCCTTTAGCATTTAATTAAATATTTAAAAATGCATCCCCATTTATTTACTGGGTAAAAAAATATTTAAAAAGAGGCCAAAAGTGCGAATAACTTTTGGCCTCGTTTTAAAAGGCCATTTTTATAAAAATACATAAAATATACCGCAACTACTCCAGTTTGGCATGCTAACATTTAAAATTTTTAAGCTCCATTTTATAGTATTAGCTGATGTTTCGAAAATATTTATCAAAAAATACTCTAATGCCTGAAAGCCCATGATCCTGAAAACACTTAAAAATTAAAAAATATTTTTAATTTAAAATTTCAGATGATTAAATTAATTATTCCTCCTTTATATTTAATTATTCTTTTAAATACACACTGTAACGGAAGAATAGTTGAGGTGAAAATAAAAGATGATTGGATAGAAAAAAGAGAATTTAATTATTTAAAAAAATTTGCAAAGAAGGAGCGATTTGTATTGAAAACAATTGAAAAACATAACAATATATATTGCAGCAATAAATATGATACGGAAGGATTTTTGCGAATAATTGAATTAAAACATGATAGAAATATTTTTAAGGTAGAAATATATGATAACTCAGAATATATTCCTTCAGTTCAATTAAAAAGGAAAATTCTGATAGAAATTGCAAATAATACAATTATTCAACGATTTTTGCCTGAATTTGAAAAACGGGTATTTTGTATTTTGATTATTATATTTTAATCCAGGAATCTTGATTAAACTAATCTCGTAGATATATTACCGCATTTTTCCTAATAGAAGCGCATGCGTTTCTATTTTCAACATTATTGTAGACTGCGCTTCTATTGGGAAAAATACGGTATGTTAATTGATAGACCGGTAAATTTAAGGAAGGAAAATAGAAAATAATATTAATCTAACAATAAATTTAAGGTAATACGATATAATTATTTTGTTGAAAAGAGCAATTATTATGAAACTTCTATATTAGAGGAAAGTTTAGAAATTATAAATAAAAAAGAATTATTAAAAGAGAATATAGAAAATTATAAAGACATATTTTTAACAAGTTATTGGAACGAAATTAATTTAATTGGATATAAAATTGAATTGTTAGAAAAACAAAAATTGGAATATTCATTAGAATTAAAGAGCAATGTTTTTTACACCGGCAATAAAATAAGTAAATACAAATTTTACGTTATTTGTCTGACATGATAAAGATATCCTAGTTGCCATATCAAGCTGAAACCAACTCTAGCAAATAACGTTTTATATTAATTTTATAGGTGTTATTAGTGTAAAGCAAAGCCGAGATTGTTTCAATTGTGGGTTTAAACAAATTAAAACCCGGTGGCATAAATATCTCAAAGAACACTATTTGTGTCATGCTTGTTTTGCTTATTGTCAAAAATATGTAATGCATAGACATAAAAGCTTGTTTATCAAGACTAAAACGGTTTGCTATTATTAGATATCATTAAGATCGCATTCCCTTGATCACATAACGAATAAATGTCAAAACATATTCTCAAATTCAAGGTAAACCAGCAGAATTCCTGAATTTTTTTGTAATAGATATAGGAGATATTATTTTTTACACATTCTTCGACCTGAATCCCAACCATATTTTGCTCCCAAGACGATCCCAACCATATTTTATCCATTTTACTCCTGCCCACAATTAAGTTTTTGAAAAGGCAGAAACCATGTTTTGATGAATTTTAAATCATGACAAGTTTGCAAAAATTGCATTTGCATAAAAATTTTGCCGTTAATAATAAATATTCCGTTAGTTCCATTTTTGGCCCATCCTCTTTCCCTTCCGCAATTATAAAACGGAAATTCATTCTTAATATAGATGTGCTAAAAAATTTTTTAAGGCGGATCGTCATTGTTATAAATGCGGAATTAAGCAAGCAAAAATATGGTTGCATCATTCAGAACCTGGAAAATATATATTAAAGAAATGTTACGATCGAGAAAGATATATTGATGAATTTTACATCATGAAAAGTTTGCAAAAATTGGATTATCATAAAAAATTTTTTCGATTATAATAAATATTCCGTTAATTCCATTTTTGGCCCATCCCCTTTCCCTTCCGCAATTATAAAATGGAAATTCATTCTTAATGTGTAAAAAATTTATTTAAGTCGGATCGTCATTGTTATAATTGCGGAATTAAGCAAGCAAAAATATGGTTGCAACATTCAGAACCTGGAAAATATTTATGTAAAACATGTTACGATCGGGAAAGATATATAAAAAAGAAGTCAAATACAAATCAAAATGAAAAAGAAGCTCATAAAAGAAAAAATTTATAAACAAAATGAAAATTTTAAAGAAAGCAAAAAAGTTATGCAATATAGAAAAATATACCGGGTACGGCAAATTTTTCGCACTTTTTTTGTCATAACTTTCTTCAAAGTCGATGAAAATTGATAATTCTTTTTTTTTATTTTATTCCGAACATCTAAGCAAATTTTTGGTATTAAAATATTCTCTAACTTTCAGAAATTTATTTGACTGCTTTTTCTTAAAGTTTTGGAAAAAAATTTTTGACCGAAAGTCGTCGATTTGAAGGCTATGTGTTTGATATGTGAGAAGACTTTTTGATATCATTCGAATAAACTCTTTAAGCTGATTTGAATGATATTTTCAAAAATCTAATTATAGACTATCTCGATGCTACTCTTAGAGTAATTAGCAAGATTGGCGACTTTAAGCGAAGTTAAGGTAAAGTAAACTTTGTTAAGAAAAAATATTTTTTCATGCGTTTCGATATTCAGACTGGCATATATCTCTATGAGCCAGATTTCTTTTATTTGGTGACAAAAATTTGCTTAGTGTGTTGGAATAAAATATGTATAAAAAGAGTGAGCAATTTTCATCCATTTGAAGAATGCAATTACAAAAACGATTGGCTGAAAATTTGTCATTCTATGTTTTAAATTTTTTTAGAAAAATTGTTAATTAAAACTACTACGCACGAAAGTTAAATAAATTTTTTTACTTCAATCTTATATAGTTATTTTATTAAAAATTTTAATTATCATTTAAGAAATTAAAAAACAAGTTTTTGAAAAAATTTTTGGATAAAAACATTCGTATAAAAATCACAAAATTAATAAAAAACTTAAATAATGTTAAAATAAATTAATTCCCCAATAAGGACTCGAACCTTGGGAAAAAATCTCCCCATTTCTATTTATTTGAACCATAATGCACAAAAAAAACTCTTTAGACTCTATGAAATGTGTTGTGTTCCCAAGCTCCAAAAACCACACCAAACTGCAATATAAAGTGTTTTGAAGAACTAGTTTTAAATTATGCAAAGAAATATAAAAAGAACTTTATATAAAGAAATATATAAATTGATAAAACTCAATGAATATTTTGTTTTAATTTAAAATGACATAATTTTCGAAACAAAAATTTTAAATAATTTAATTTTGTCTGTAAATGTTATTTACTGTAAAATCTTATTCACAGATTTTGATGAATTTAAAAATAAAATATTAATTTTAGATTGTATTTTATGTCCTCACACTTCAAAAATAAAACCTTAAAGAATGTTTTACAAATTGTTTACAAACAGAAATTGTGAAATTAAAAATTCAATCCTTATGTTCTTTTTGCCAGAAATTTTCAAAATCGTTCACATGATCAATCGAAGCATTTCTAAGCGCATTATAAATATAATGAATAAAGTTAGCATTTTCTTGTTTTGGTGATTTTGTATTTTCAATAATTTTATCAAAAGTTTCCTTTTCAACATCAGACAATTTATGATCAGCCTCAGTTTTGTCCTTTTCCATAGGCGCATTTTTAAGCTTTGCTCTAAGCATTTCGTGTAATCCTTCCATTTTAAGTATAAAATCCATACAATAATCTTTTGCCATATGGTCTGATGAAATAGCTTCACAGATTCCTAGATATTCCAAAAGTGTGTCGAATTGTAATTTTTTCAGCTTATTCATAACAGTCTTTAATTCCTTTAAAAATATTTTTATAACATTTAAAATGTTATTTAAATGTTTTTAATGACAAGTGCGTATTCATAATATTGCTAAATATTTTAATTGCTGACAGTTTTCTCCAAGCCTAGCAACTTTTTATCGGAGAGTTCTAAGGATTAAGCCAATTCAATCTAGTGCTGCTAAATCAAGTTAACTAGAAAATAGGTAACAAAAACAAAATATCCATTTAACTGTGAAGGGGAAAGAAAAGTTACAGGCGATTTTTATCTCGCGCTCATGGAAAGTTATTTTCAGTGCAAGACGCAAAGTGACTTCGAGAGCGCAAGTTTTGATGGATTGCCCCATAATTTTTAAATATGAATTTAACCTTTATCTTTTTTATATTTTCCGGATTATTTTCTTTTTTGATGTTCAAATATTTAAAAAATTTCGAAAATTCTATGTGGTTAATAAATTGATTAAATACATCTTTGTTCATTTCCTGAACTTTTTCAAGTTGCTTTTGTATTTCTTCAAAATTCTTATTTAGAATTTCACCTTTATTTTTTAAAATGTGAAGTGTTATTCCTTCCTCATCTTTTTCCTTTTTTTGAGCAGCCAAATCTGTTAAATATCATATGTATATTTTAGTGATGTTTGGGTATGCCGTCCCGACCCGACTCCCGATGTCAATTCGCGACTAAGTCGGGAAATTTTTACAGCCTTATGAATTTTACAGCCCTTTTTTAATTTTTATATTTAAAAGGGATAAAAATAAAAAGGGAATGGGAAAATAAAATAAGATTTTCGATACCTTTCTTGTTCTCAAGATTTTCAGCTTTGCTAATTTTATGTTGAGTTCGACTGCCAAATGCGGCAGACAATAAAATAAAAAATAATAGTAATTTTTCAATGTTCATTTAAGCTAAATATCTTTGAAACTAAAAAATTATTTAAATTGACTTGTAATTATTTAAACCCTCTATCTTAATTATGTTGGTGTACCATATATGCTTAACTATCCTTATCAGTGCGTGATTAAAAAAGGTATGTCGAGTTAAATCGTTCTCAACAATTTTGTCTTATCGAGATTCGCCTGCATTTTATGGCCAATGAAGATTCCTACAGGCCTAGCAGATAAACAGAAATAAAAAATTGGTTACCGGTCGGGAGGGTCGTATCTCTGAGCTCTAGAATAAAATCCCACCAAAACTTATTTATTTTCTGGAATTGGGTCGGAAGCTTTGACTTTATTTATAAATTCATAGAAGCGAATTCATGTCTGACAAGGATTTTAATGTAAGTGAGAGAGAAGGTAAGAATATGGGGTGGAGAAATTGACAAATTTCCGAGGGGTGGGGAGGGTGGGAGGTCGCATGAATGAAGACTCGTGAATGGAATCGCGTGAATGCCAGACTCCTAGACTTTATTGAATAACAAAAATTGATAAAATTTAAAAAGAAAATTAATTTAATTTAAAATTATTTAAAATATAAAATAATATTTAAAATGTTTGGTTGTTTATTTAGTAACCTGTAATGATTTAATCTAATTTAGAATTAATATTATTCGTAACTCCTGGTTTCAGTTATTAGAAGTTTTCAGGCCCTTGTTTTGGGTTACGGTTTTGGGTAGCCTAAACCGGTTTTTGAGTCGGGCCGACGGTCTAGGCATTTTTTCGAGTTGTTTATATCAAGTCGGGCCGGTACGAGTCTTTTTCGGGCCTAACTTTATCGAGTTGGGAACCGAGAAATTTTCGAGTCTTTTTTAAAAGATTTATTTAGCAATGATTGGTGAATTTGGATGGATATCGGAGAATTGAAAGTGATATTGATGGAAAGTGATATCGAGATAATAGACAGACAACGATACAAATCACGCTTCAATTAAAGAAATTCTAGACAGACAAATAATTTTAATAGACACTTAAAATAATTTATTTCCTTGTTTAAATAATTTTTTAATATAAATTGCACTTTTATATGTTTATTGGAATCTCTATTTTTTAAATTGAAGGCAAAAATTATTGTTTAGTTCAAATTTTCTCGAAGTTTCCCTCTTGAAAAATCGGAATTCGGAGCAAAAGGGTCAAAAGTATGGTTGAAATCAGAATTCGGAACAAAAAATCAAAATTCGGAACAAAAGGGTCAAAAGTATGGTGTAGCTAACTTATAAAAAGATTTGGATTTTTTAGAAAATGTTTTTTTAAAAAGAAATTGTTTATAAATTTTTTCATTACAAATTCAACATTGTTTGGTCGTGCTAAATAATTTTGAAAATTTTCTCAAAAATTATCTCACACTTTGTACTTTAATTAAAATTGTTTTTTGTATCTAAACTTTAATAATACTTAATGAATTTTAATAATATCTCACCTACAAATCCATCAATATCACTTTCAATTCTCCGATATCCATCCAAATTCACCAATCATTGCTAAATAAATCTTTTAAAAAAGACTCGAAAATTTCTCGGTTCCCAACTCGATAAAGTTAGGCCCGAAAAAGACTCGTACCGGCCCGACTTGATATAAACAACTCGAAAAAATGCCTAGACCGTCGGCCCGACTCAAAAACCGGTTTAGGCTACCCAAAACCGTAACCCAAAACAAGGGCCTGAAAACTTCTAATAACTGAAACCAGGAGTTACGAATAATATTAATTCTAAATTAGATTAAATCATTACAGGTTACTAAATAAACAACCAAACATTTTAAATATTATTTTATATTTTAAATAATTTTAAATTAAATTAATTTTCTTTTTAAATTTTATCAATTTTTGTTATTCAATAAAGTCTAGGAGTCTGGCATTCACGCGATTCCATTCACGAGTCTTCATTCATGCGACCTCCCACCCTCCCCACCCCTCGGAAATTTGTCAATTTCTCCACCCCATATTCTTACCTTCTCTCTCACTTACATTAAAATCCTTGTCAGACATGAATTCGCTTCTATGAATTTATAAATAAAGTCAAAGCTTCCGACCCAATTCCAGAAAATAAATAAGTTTTGGTGGGATTTTATTCTAGAGCTCAGAGATACGACCCTCCCGACCGGTAACCAATTTTTTATTTCTGTTTATCTGCTAGGCCTGTAGGAATCTTCATTGGCCATAAAATGCAGGCGAATCTCGATAAGACAAAATTGTTGAGAACGATTTAACTCGACATACCTTTTTTAATCACGCACTGATAAGGATAGTTAAGCATATATGGTACACCAACATAATTAAGATAGAGGGTTTAAATAATTACAAGTCAATTTAAATAATTTTTTAGTTTCAAAGATATTTAGCTTAAATGAACATTGAAAAATTACTATTATTTTTTATTTTATTGTCTGCCGCATTTGGCAGTCGAACTCAACATAAAATTAGCAAAGCTGAAAATCTTGAGAACAAGAAAGGTATCGAAAATCTTATTTTATTTTCCCATTCCCTTTTTATTTTTATCCCTTTTAAATATAAAAATTAAAAAAGGGCTGTAAAATTCATAAGGCTGTAAAAATTTCCCGACTTAGTCGCGAATTGACATCGGGAGTCGGGTCGGGACGGCATACCCAAACATCACTAAACTATACATATGATATTTAACAGATTTGGCTGCTCAAAAAAAGGAAAAAGATGAGGAAGGAATAACACTTCACATTTTAAAAAATAAAGGTGAAATTCTAAATAAGAATTTTGAAGAAATACAAAAGCAACTTGAAAAAGTTCAGGAAATGAACAAAGATGTATTTAATCAATTTATTAACCACATAGAATTTTCGAAATTTTTTAAATATTTGAACATCAAAAAAGAAAATAATCCGGAAAATATAAAAAAGATAAAGGTTAAATTCATATTTAAAAATTATGGGGCAATCCATCAAAACTTGCGCTCTCGTAGTCACTTTGCGTCTTGCACTGAAAATAACTTTCCATGAGCGCGAGATAAAAATCGCCTGTAACTTTTCTTTCCCCTTCACAGTTAAATGGATATTTTGTTTTTGTTACCTATTTTCTAGTTAACTTGATTTAGCAGCACTAGATTGAATGGGGCTTAATCTTTAGAATTCTCCGATACAAAGTTGTTAGTCTTGGAGAAAACTGTCAGCAATTAAAATATTTAGCAATATTATGAATACGCATTTGTCATTAAAATAATTTAAATATAATTTTAAAATGCCATAAAAATATTTTTAAAGGAATTAAAGACTGTTATGAATAAGCTGAAAAAATTACAATTCGACACACTTTTGGAATATTTAGGAATCTGTAAAGCGATTCCATCAGACCATATGGCAAAAGCATATTGTATGGATTTTATATCTAAAATGCAAGGATTACACGAAATGTTTGAAGCAAAACTTATAAATGTTACTATGGCTAAGGACAATACTGAGGCTGATCATAAATTGTCTGATGTTGAAAAGGAAACTTTTGATAAAATTATTGAAAATACAAAACCACCAAAACAAGAAAATGCTAACTTTATTCATTATATTTATAATGCGGTTAAAAATGCTCCAATTGGTCAAATGAACGATTTTAAAAATCTCTGGCAAAAAGAACATAAGGATTGAATTTTTAATTTCACAATTTCTGTTTGTAAACAATTTGTAAAAACATTCTTTAAGGTTTTATTTCTGAAGTGTGAGGACATAAAATACAATCTAAAATTAATATTTTATTTTTAAATTCATCAAAATCTGTGAATAAGATTTTACAGTAAATAACATTTACAGACAAAATTAAATTATTTAAAATTTTTGTTTCGAAAATTATGTCATTTTAAATTAAAACAAAATATTCATTGAGTTTTATCAATCTATATATTTCTTTGTATAAAGTTCTTTTTATATTTCTTTGCATAATTTAAAACTAGTTCTTCAAAACAATTTTTATTGCAGTTTGGTGTGGTTTTTGGAGCTTGGGAACACAACACATTTCATAGAGTCTAAAGAGTTTTTTTCGTGCATTATGGTTCAAATAAATAGAAATGGGGAGATTTTTTCCCAAGGTTCGAGTCCTTATTGGGGA